AAGAAGCTTTAGAATAAAAATGTATAAAGCTTGCTTCTAATACCTTCTGAGTTTTGTTTTTCTGCTTAGGAAAATATTTCCTCCACTTAAAAAAATTTTTTTTAATGTTTGATTTATTTCTGAGAGAGAGAGAGAGAGAGAGACAGCATGAGCAGGGGAGGGTCAGAGAGAGAGAGAGAGGGAGACACAGAATCTGAAACAGGCTCCAGGCTCTGAGCTGTCAGCACAGAGCCTGACATGGAGCTCAAACCCAGGAACTGTGAGATCATGACCTGAGCCGCAGTCGGACGCTTAACTGACTGAGCCACCCAGGCGCCCCTATTTCCTCCACTTCTAAGAGCATCTATTAATTCACATTTTATTTTATTTTATTTTATTTTCAGTATAGTTAACACAATTCACCGGTTTTTGGGGGGAGATTGTTTTGTTTTTGTGAGCACTTGAAGGCTCCATGGTTTGCATTTAAACTTTTGACCCATTTGGAATTTATTTCAGTAGAAGGAATACAGGAATCCGGATTTTACGTCTCTATTCTCCAAAGGTTGGGCCAGTTGGTCCGGATCTCGCCTGGTGATTTGCAATTCTACCTTATTCAGCCCCGAAAATCTCATCTTTGGGGGCACCAAACTGTTCGGAATCTCATACATTTATAATGCATTTTACAGGCTTACTCAGCGCCCCAGCCCACCCCGCCCCCCTCGCCATTACGCTTCTTTCCAGAATTTGTGGGTTACTCTTACATGGCAATAAGTTTTCAACAGCTCATCTTGTCCTTCTTTGTTAGCCTCCTGGAGCCGGACAAAGAGGTCGTGGAGACCTTTTGGTTTTTTTGTTATGTTCCCAAGACCATTGACAGCTGTTGGCATTGCTTAGCCTGAAGTCAAAGTCAGGGGGGCGGCATCTAGCCCGCGCCCTGCTGGGGCCCATGAGCACGCACTCCGTTGTTAGGCATTCATTTGCTTTTACAGACTAATCACACAGGCTTGGAGCTCTTCCACCGCAGCTGTCCCCGAGGCTTACTTGTCACTGAATTAAGCGTGACCAGGCATGTGTTGTGCAGAAATAGTTGCTGGAGTTTTTCAGGCGCGGACGTGCCTACCCCAAATCTAAAACCTAACCAGTGTCCACAGGGTTACACCTTCCAAAACAAAGACGCTTTATAAGAAGTGCAAATATTTGTTCAGAAATGGTAGGAGACACTTCTAAGAACTGTAGAAAAATCTGGTTAACTTAGAAATATCCACGAATGTGGTTTGGGGGTAATCTAACTTTTTTTTTTTTTTTACATAAAGTGTTGTTTTTTATTTTCATTTTATTTTTTTAAATTTTTACTTTTTTTTAATGTTTATTTTTGAGAGAGAGAGAGACAGAGGTGAGTGGGGGAGGAGCAGAGAGTGGAAGACACAGAATCCGAAGTGGGCGCCAGGCTCTGAGATGTCAGCACAGAGTCCGAGGTGAGGCTTGAACTCACAAACCTTGAGATCATGACCTGAGCCCAAGTCGGTCGCTCCCTTGACTGACTGAACCACCCAGGAGCCCCTAAAGTGTTGTTTTTTAAAGCAAAGAATAGGGACGCCTGGGTGACTCAGTCGGTTAAGCGTCTGACTTCAGCTCAGGTCATGATCTCACGGTTCGTGGGTTCAAGCCCTGCGTCAGGCTCTGTGCTGACTGCTAGCTCAGAGCCTGGAGCCTGCTTCAGATTCTTTGTTTCCCTCTCTCTCTGACCCTCCCTTGCTCACGCTGTCTCTCTCTCTCTCTCAGAAATAAATAAAACATTTAAAAAGATGTAAAGCAAAGAATAGAGAAAATGAAGAATGTCCAACTATCTGTCCAAGTCAGCTTTCTAAAACATCATGTGTTCTCAAGTATGAGAATTAGAGATAAGGACAATAATAAAGTGTCCCCATGTCACAACCCCTGCCCCGACCACCTCTACTCAGTTCCCCACCTCAGAGGTCATATCCTACTCTTTGTATAACCACATAATGTTTTTCATTTATATGAAAATGACTGATCCCATGTGCCCTACTGCTCCTCAGTACTTTTCATGTAAAATATTTTCCAAGTTGCTCTGCATCAGCCATAAACTTCTAACCCTTTCTTTACTAGTCTTTTTTTTTTTTTTTTAAGTAATCTTTGTACCTAGCGTGGGGCTCAAACTCGTGACCCCAACATCAAGAATTGCGTGCCTTGGGGCGCCTGGGTGGCTTAGTCGGTTGAGCGTCCGACTTTTGCTTAGGTCATGATCTCGCGGTTCGTGGGTTTGAGCCCCGCGTCGGGCTCTGTGCTGACTGCCGGCTCGGAGCCTGGAGCCTGTTTCAGAGTCTGTGACTCCCTCTCTCTCTGACCCTCCCCTGCTCACGCTGTCTCTCTCTCTCTCTCTCCTAGAAATAAATAAAAAATATTAAAAAAAAAAAAAAAGAATTGCGTGCCTTACCCACTGAACCAGGCAGGTGTCCCCTACCCCTTTCTTTTTAAGGTCTCCAGTGTCCCATTCTCCCACAATTTATTCTACCAGTTCCGTATCGATGGGCACTTGATCACTTTCCTTTTCCACGCTTACACACACTCCCCTTTAATATTTCGTGAGTGGGTACTATGACATGCATTTCAGAGAATATATTATTGGGGAAAACAGCTAGCAGCGGATTCCCTGGGACCCTAAACAAGGGTCATCTTGAAAGTGACAGCTTTTAGGGGTGTCTGGGTGGCTCAGTCAGTCCAACTCTGGCTGTCACACAGTCGATGGCCACCACGTGTGGGCTGACTGGCAGCATGGATGGGGGACGGCGCCACCTGCAGGGCCCGGCCTGTGTACGCAGATGCCTTTGGGGATCAGACTCCCGTCTCCCGCAGAGGCACTTCCGGCGGCCTTGCTCCCAGACACCACCCCGGACAGGATGCTGCATCCACGTGTGAGTTGGGCTGAGAGGCTCCCTTGCAGGCAGCCAACTTCCACTGCATCTCAGGGGGCCCTATCCCTGGCTGTCCCCCCAACTTCCAGCCATATCAGCCTTCCAGGCTCTGCTGCAGCGCTGGGTAAACTAGAGGGAGTGACTGACTGCATCTTGGGAGGTGCTTAAAGATGTTGGCCAGATATGGCTTTTGCATGGAGGGAGACTGGGAAAGCACCCGGTCAATAACACATCAATTACCCAGGTCTCTGTGCGCCTCTGCTCTGGCACCTCATTGCCCCGTCCTCAAAGGCCAGCTTCCCTTTCAGTCTTTTGCGCTTCTTCCCTCCCTGACCCTCCCCTTCACCTTTCAGAAAACCCTAACCTAGGCCCTGAAGGCTTGTTCCCTTTCCCCAAGCGTGAACTGCTCCAGCCAGAGCTGCCCATTGGCTGCTGCACTCAGTGTGCCTGAGAATCCTTAGGAGAAACTGCCGAGGACACAGGTTCCCGGCACAGACGCCAACTCGAGGGATCCTGGCTCAGCAGGCGGGGCCCAGGAATGGCACTTTTCACAAAGACCCCAGGGGACCGATGCTGTGGCCAGCCTGGTTCAGGAGGCCGTAGCAGGGGAGGCTGCTGGTCAGGAGAAAACTGAATTTTTGAGCTGAAAAACCTGCTTCTGTCTGAAGGGAGGGGAAGGAAGGGTCTTCAGCTTCCAGCCGCTTTTCAAAATACGTTCAAATTCACATCGCCAGGTACCTGTCTTCAAAACTTCTAGAAACCCAAAGATCGGCGGGAGATCCTTTCACGTTGGTGGAAGGGTATGGTGCAAAAAGGACCCCTCGGTGGCATCTTCTGTCATGGAGCAGTGACAATCCTCCCAGGGCTGACAGCAGCCCACGCCAGGCTGGGAGTCTAGGGCAGTGTGCACAGCTCACTGTGTGGGAAGGGAGGGCCTGTTCTCAAATAAGCCAGGACATCTGGCTGCAAGAGAGTCAACAGATACTTAATTTGCGAAACTTTATTTTGTAACATATGTGTTTACATTTACCCATCACGATGTCAATCTATTAACACAATGAAGCCCTTGACGGGCCTGATCTTGAAACTGGGTGCTGGAGAGTTGCAAGCATTTTCGCCTTGACGGCAACTGCACTCCTGTGTTCCATTTTGCACGAACTGGAGGATAACCTCGATGCACATGGTGGAACAGCCGCAAACATAAGCTGGGTATTTTTTTCCCCCCTGCAGCTTTAGTTAGACTCTTCCAGGATTTTGAAATTACAAAGAAATTGATTTTCAAAGCAGAATTTCAGGATTACTAACAACGTCTAATGACTGCTCATATTCCCTATCACAAAAACAGAAGGGAGCCCCTGGACACATAAAGGGCTAAAACTGTGCGACGGTTGTATTAGGTGAATTCACGGACGTGCTACCACACAACTGAAAATCACTGCGTTCCAGAAGCATGTGAATTACAAAGGGAAGCTTCTTTCAGAGTGTTGTTACATCACAGGGCATGCGCATGACTGAATCTCTCCCACGTCCAACCTTTCTTGCCCGCCACATTTCCAAGTTCGGTTATATGGGAAAACAGATGGGAGAAACGGTTCACTGGAGATCTGTACAAAGTCAAGTTCACTTATGAACACAGGGTAATACTCTGATAGTCTCCTATGTGACTGGTCTGGCTTACGACGTGTTCAAGTTCCAGTTTTTTTTATTTTTTGTTTTTTTTTAAACACATGGGGTAGCCTGGGTGGCTCAGTCGGTTGGGCATCCGACTCTTGATTTCAGCTCAGGTCATGATCTCATGGCTGTGAGATAGGGCTCTGTTCTGGATGAGGAGCCTGCTTAAGAATCTCTCCACCTCTGTCCCTCCCCCTCCTATGCATGGGCGCACACACTCTCAAAAACAATAATAAATTAATTATATTAAATACATTTTTAAAAAGTTTTGGATTACATCTTTGAGCATGCTTTGGGCCTTCCAGCATACTACTTGAAAACCAATGGTGTCCGGAACTCTGCCCCCTCCCCCTACACACACACACACACACACACACACACACACACACTTGGGAGACAAGGAATGTTGGTCTATTCAAATGACAGAAATTAACAGCCAATTTCTTAAGAAAAATTTCCCTCTCCTATTACAATGTGACAAGTGCCTTTAGCCCCAAAGATGGAAAGTTTGATGGTGCTGGATGGAATCAGGGCTGGGAAGCCAGAAGTGCCTGAGTCCTTCCCTACTGATCATCCCTTCTCCCCACGGGCTTCCTGAGATGGTCTGACCCTAAATGGAATCCAAATGCCACTTTTATTAACAGAATCTAAAACTCAAGTACGTCAAGGTCCAAGTGGACATTCTTGTCCCCCAAAACTAACTCTTGGAACCTTCTCGTCCTCTGGCTAGTTAACGGGAGGATGGAAATTGAAGACCAGGAGGAGCGAGCAAGGCAGGCAGGTTCGCTTTGAAGATCTCAGCTTAACTTACCCATGGCTGAAACACAGAGAAGGTGGGAGTAAATGCCAGGCCCTGCGTGCAGAGGTTGGCTGACCACCCAGGAAGCAGGGAATGAGGAAGAAAGGCAGACCGCGGATGGACATTAACAGGGATCCTGCCCGTGTATGTAAAGGTAAATGTTCTAGAATTTTCCCAATCTGCTTCGTGATCCTCCAACCTCTGAAGGTGAGTCAAGGGGAGGTGCAAAAGCAAGCATGGCAGAGAAAAGAGCAGAGAGATGTACCTCCCTCCCTTAATCTCTCCCACCCAAGAGCTCATGGACAGTTCCCCTCTGAGAGCCCCATTTCTACAAATGGGATCCTTAAGAGTTAACAGTTGGTTCAATAAAAAACAAACTTGGTTCCCAATGTGATATTTTTTTCTTCCTTGGACATCTTTCAACTAATCAGGTATGGGTGGTTCTCCGAATCAAAGCTTTCTGGGTTCTGTAGATTAGAAGAGCTCAAAAGGGGAAGTGGGGGTCATGTGGAATTTTTTTTCACTTCCTTGAGCCTTTCAAGTGCTTGAACATTTCTACCCCCCAACCAGGCCTCCAGAAAACTCCAACCTCAAAGCCATCTACCTTGACGATCGATCTATCGTTATCACTCCCAACTATTCGATTCTTACTAAAGGAGCAGGGTCAGATGAGCAGAATGACCCAGAGACTACCAGAGCGACACTCACTAACAAAGGAGAGGTGGGAGCTTTGCTTGGCCACCTCCTGCCCACCGGTGTCTCCGGTGTTGCCCTTCAGGGGCTCCTAGGAGGGAGGTCAGGGCTCTCGCCTTCTAAAGCCTCAACTGGTGTGTCATCTGGCTCTTCCACTGCACTGGGGTCCTCCTCATGCACCCCCTGACCTGCTAGGCCTCTGAACTCCTCTGCCCCCACCTGGAGCTCCAGCTCTTCCCCACTCATCCACTTATCATCATAACCCAGATCACTTCCGTGGTCGTTCTCACCACCGGAGGCATGAGGGGAGCCTTCTGGCTTGGCCTTTGGGCCCTGTGATGTTGAGGCTGGCAACTCCGCGGGCTGTGGGCCCTGAAAGGCCTTTTGAACGGATGCATCTCTTCTTGAGGCCGGACCTTTCTTTGCCATCATTGGCTTCTTCTTGGCATCTGCTGAATGGACCAGGACGTAAGAAACAGGGCCCAAGCTCACCTTCTTTTTCTTTCTCGTGGGGGTGGGGCTCTTTGCCAAGGCCCAGCCCATGGACTTCTTCTTTGGTGAGCCCTCCTGACCGCCATCTTGGTCTGACTCCGAAGCAACTCCAGGGTTCACAGCTTCTGACGTAGCATCATGGGATGGGTTGCTGGGAGCCTTCCAGGCACATTTTCCAGCAGGCTTCTTTAAAGCCGACTCCTCCTGCTTCACATGGGGCTTTTTGTTGCTCCTCATACATTCTGAGACCTCCATACTTTCAGCACCATCCGCCTCAGGATACTCCAAGGCGGCCGAGCTGTTGGAATGGTGGCCTTTAGGTTTTTTCCAGGGTGTTGATTCCTGCTTAGGGTTTTTTTTCTGCTTCTTTCTCCTGGAGCGAGTTTTAGCTACAGCTCTGCAAACCAGAGGTTTGGGAGGGTCACCTCCATCTTCCATGTCATTCCAGTGGTTGGGATTCTCCATCTTCAAAGCAGACCCAACTTCTGCAGCCTGCCCTGGCTCCTTCTTGACCTTCCTCCGCGCTGCAGCTGCAGCTGCTACTGCCTGGGCATCAGCCACCTCTTGAGCCCTTGCTTCCTCGCGGCTGCGCATCTCCGCATCCATGTGGAAGACAATTTGCACTACTGCCCCCAGGAGCACCCCCAAAGCTTCTGCCCAGTTCTCTGGGCGCTGATTCTGGGGCTGTGGGGGGTGGCGGAGCTGGAGCAAGCGGACCACATCCTCCCACGTGCGCCCCTCGCCATCCAAGAACTCATTCAGATTTTTTAAAAACTCAGCATCCTGAGTGGGATCCCTACAGACCATTCTCCAGACGCCCCCCCTTGCTGGGAACTCCCGCGGGATGGCCCTGAGATTCACACCCTCTCCCACCTCAATTAGGGCAGCTTTGGCGTTCTCCTCCCTCAGAAAAATCTTATTGAGCACTAAGTATGGGCCCAGTGGGGAGAGGACCCCATTCAAGGTCTCCTCAATCTCTGCTTGACCACAGTCCTCTGGGATGCCTGTGACCAACAGGGACCTGTGGATGTCCACTTCCATCCCCCGGCACCAGTCCTCCAGAAGGTTCATGGCCATGGTGGCGGACACCGGGCGCCTCTAATCCCACGTGCACCGAACAGTCTATAAGGTGGATGAGGGTTTGCAGCGGTCCCCAAGTATTAATCCTGTAAGGTGACAGGAGAGGGAGGTCAGATTCCCCGGAAGACGGCCAGGCTCAGAGATCTCTGCTGCCCCCAGCGCGGCAGGCCTACAGGAGGGCCTCGCGCTTGCCCAGGCCCCTCCTCCCCAAAGGGGGCCCCGGGTGCTCACACGTGTCCTGCGACCCGCTGAAAACCGCGCCCGGCCCTGCCCCTAGTCTGGGTGGCGGCCGCCCAGCAGGGATCCTTTCGGCCCCGCCTCCGGCCGCCAGGTCAGGTCGGGCTGAGGACAGGCTGCCAGGACGCAGCCGCTCGCCAGGCTCCAGCCCGGGCCACCCAGGCCGGCTGTTCCCGGCTGGAAGGGCCGAGAAGCCGGCGTCCGCCCCCGCTCCGGCTCCGAGCGGGTCACGCGGCGTCTCGCTTCGAGCCCTGCAGCTGCGCGGAGCCCAGGCCGCGTCGCAGCGCGCGCTTGCGCACTTGCGTCCGCGCCGCCCTGGCCTCGCATCTGCCGCGGTTGCCATGGCAACCGGCTCGGCTTGCTGATTTCTCCCAGGGGCTCCGGGGGCCAGGCGGGAGAGCGGGTGGTCCGCTCAGCGACGCAGGGGTCTGTGCGTTCTCCGATTTTCCGTCCAGATGCTCTGCCCCCCCTTTTCGATTCAATGGGGGCCTCGGGGACGGAGGTGGAATGCCCTGGCTTAAGGATGGCAACCAGCTGGCCCGCCTAGTCTCTGCCTTTCTGTTGGGGGACCCCCGGGATCCCCCAGAAATCAGAGGGCAAGAGGAAAGGACAGCTTTTAACACCCTCCTCCCCCGGGGTCCTCTAACAAAACCACAGCTCCTGCCAGGTCTTTCCTTCGGCCATAGTTCCCGGGTTCCAGAATATCCAGGAGCTTCTAGAAACTCCTGGCTTCTGCCCACACGTGCACTGCAAGCCTGGATATAGTGCCTCCCCTTGCCTTGCTGGTTTCCTCAACTTGCTGCCCACAGGCAGCACCTCTATTGAGAGTTGATGAAACGCTCCTCAATGACTCCCTTCAGGCTGCTGTTTCCTGTCAGGCCTTTGCTGATGTACGAAGCAATGCTGCTCACCAGCTGTGCAGTCTCGGACATACTGAGCTCTCCAAGCTCCTTCCTCTTCTCCCCAAAGGAATACCAATAAAAACCATCCTGATCTGGAAGGGGTATCACATACGGAAAATGCAATTAAGTACGGTTTTGGCCTAAGTATTCAACTTGAGTCCTATTTTAATCTCATTTTGGACCGTTGCAAGACCAAATAGCCAAGTGGGTGCTCCACTCATCTCTGGCATCCCTGAACTTGGGCGGGATGGATACCTTGATGCAACAGTGTGTGTGTGTGTGTGTGTGTGTGTGTGTGTGTGTGTGTCCAAGTTCCCATGATATTTCATGCCGGAAAAAAAAAGAGACCTGTCATTCAAATTGTTAAATCTGCATATCAGTTGTGCCGTTTACCTGTTGAAATTCTGTGAATCAATTGAAGAATGAATATAGCATCATGCAGTGGCTTTAAAACACAGCCATAATTCTTTGATATTCCCATGGAAAGGTGGTGATCTATGCCCCTCTTACTGAATCTGACCAGACTTGTAAATTCTTTAACTAATAGTAAAGAGTGTGGTCAAAGAGAAAAGATTGGACCAAGAATATCATGGCGAGAAATCTTTGTGACTTCTCAGGCTATGTTATAAAGGGCCATGCAACTTTTTCCTTGTGTATTGGGAGAGTCATTCTTGGATCGCTGTGCTCCAAGAAAGGTCAACTATCTTTTGGCTTCCATGTTGTGAGGAAGCTCAAGCCAACTGGAGAAGCCACATGTGTGTGCTCCAGTCAACAATTCCCAGCTGAGCCCCTCCTTCAAATGATCTAAGCCCAGGCACCAGACATGTGAGTAAGGAAACTTGTAGGTGATTCCAGCTCCAAAAGGTTTTTTCTTTTTCATCTTTTATGTCTTTATTTTGAGAGACAGAGACAGAAAGCGAGTGGGGGAGGGTCAGAGAGAGAGGGAGACAGAATCTGAAGCAGGCTCCAGGCTCTGAGCTGTCAGCACAGAGCCTGACGCTAGGCTCGAACCCACAGACTGTGGGATCATGACCTGCGCCGAGTCAGACACTTAACCAACTGAGCCACCCAGGTGCCCCGTCCAGCTCCAAAATGTTTGACTCACTCCTCAACCATTTACATCTTCCCCGTTGAGGCCCAGCCATCATGTAGCAAAAACAAGCCATCACTCCTGTACCCTGTGTGAATTCCTGACCCAGAGAGTCAATGAGTATAAGCAAACAGTTGTTGGACATCGCTAGGTCTTGGGGTTGCTTACTAGGCAGGAATAAATAACTGGAAGATACTGCAGAGGTGGAATGTAGCAAGAATGAATGATGATTGACAAAGCATTACTTTAAAAGAAAAAAAGGCGCACCTGGGTGGCTCAGTTGGTTAAGTGTCCGACTTCAGCTCAGGTCATGATCTCACGGCTCGTGGGTCCGAGCCCCGCCTAGGGCTCTGTGCTGACAGCCAGCTCAGAGCCTGGAGACTGTCTTCAGATTCTGTGTCTCCCTCTCTCTCTGACCCTCCCCTGCTCACGCTGTCTCTCAGAAAAAAATAAAACATTAAAAATAAACAAATAAAATTGTAGTACAAATTTAAAGCTTGTGATAAAATTTCAGTTTATTCCTGCATTCCCTAAAGTTTATTCTATAATGGCTATCTTTGCCTGTGACCAAATACTCGGCCGTTCAATAGTTTGTCAAAATGTGTCTTTGGTCCTAACACGTAGCGCACTCTTATCATTATTGTAATGGCAAGAGTTCCTAGGAGCCTTCCTTCTGTTGAGCAAACTTCTTTCACGCTCTCTCCAGTGACCCAGAATTTGTTCTGGGATGGTTGAACCTGTGGGTGCTGCACTATTCATAAGAGCTATAATCTAGAAGCCACCCAAATGCCAACAACAGAGAAAGAAATAGGTCACTGGGACATGTTCACACAACAGAACACAAAGCGATTGGAAAAAGGATCCAGCACTACGCACAACAGTATAGACGAATCGAGCAACTATGATTTTTTTTTTATTATTTATTTTGAGGGGTGGAGGGGCAGAGAGAGAGAGAGCATCCCAAGCAGGCTCTGCTCTGTCAGTGCAGAGTCCGACGCGGGGCGCGAACTCACGAACCTGTGAGATCCCGACCTGAGCCGAAATCAAGAATCCGACGGCAGTTAACCTGTCTGAGCCACCCAGGTGCCCCAAAAACCAGTCATCTCTTTGGGGGTTTGGACGACCCAGGCCTGCGCAGTTAACCCCTTACTGCACAGATGCCTAGGAGGGCGTCCACCAGGGATCAGTCAGAGAAGCAGAGAAGTTAATTAGGCATTCCAAAATTAGTAAAAGATAAATATCTTTCTTTGAAGAGATAAGAAATTTAAGTTTGTTTATATATATCAAAAGGGATATATAAATATATGTTTGTAAATGTACGATGATATGTATACACACACGTGCGTGTGTATATATATGTGTACGTGGGTGGGGGGCTGAGCATGTGTGCCTGAGTGTGTGTGTTAAGTGGAGTCAGCCATCTGCTCTCTCCTCGCAGAGAGCCACCCTGATTACCAGCAGATCTAAAAACAGCTTTGAAGCGCCCTTGACGGAAGCCAGTGCTGAGGTTTCCATGACAACACATCCCTGCCACCGAATCCTTCTCCCCACCTCTGCACTTTCGTCAGGGGTCACCGTTCCATTCTCTGCCTCTCAGTTTCCCCTTTGGGTGTTTATTTTGTGTCTGGGCATTTTACTTTATTCACGTATTTATTTTTAAACTTATTTATTTATTTTGAGGGAGACAGGGACTGCATGAGTGGGGGCGGGGCAGAGAGAGAGGGAATCCCAAGCAGGCTCCGCGCTGTCAGCTCAGAGCCCGATGTGGGGCTCGAACTCACCAACCGTGAGATCATGACCTGAGCTGTAAACCTAGAGTCAGAGGGTAACCCACCGAACCACGTAGGCGCCTGCGTGTCTGTGCATTTGAAATAAAAGCCCATAGAGTTTCCATAAACACAAAACAGAAAGAAGGTCCGGGGGCTCTGGGCTGCCACCCAAATTTCCCCTCTCAAATCAGTCGTAATAATCCACGATGATATTTCTGTGGCGTGTCGGGGGTGTTCTATCTGGTTTGTACTGTGTGAGCCCCTACTTGCTCCAGAGCTTCAAAGTTTGTAGTTGCTAAAGGTCCCCTCTCCTTCCTCCTCCCTCCCAAATTACCCCTCTTCCCTCCACCTCTAACCCCCAGGTTACCAACCTCAACATCTGGTGTGAGTCTACACACCCACTGCTCCCTCTCATATAATCATTTAAAAATTATATTTAAAAATATAATCATTAAGAAATCATGGACTAGGGGTGCCTGACTGGCTCAGTCAGTAGAGCACCAGCTCTTGATCTTGGAGTTGTGGGGTTGAGCCCTACGTTGGGTGTAGAGTTTAGTACTTTTTAAATTTTTTATTATTTTTTTTCTTTTTTAAATGTTTTATTTATTTTTTGAGACAGAGTGTGCAAGTGGGGCAGGGGCAGATAGGGGCGGGGGACAGAGGATCTGAAGTGGGCTCTGCACTGACAGGCTGAGAGCACTGAGCCTAATGTGGGGCTCGAACCCACGAACTGGGAGCTCCTAACCTGAGTGGCAGTCGGTCGCTCAACCTACTGAACCCCCCAGATGCCCCAGTGCCTTTCTGGATTTAAAGATAAATAGCCATAATCTATCTCTTAACAAATTATTGCCTGGGGCGCCTGGGTGGCTTAGTTGTTTAAGCGTCTGACTTCAGCTCAGGTCATGATCTCACGGTTTGTGGGTTCGAGCCCCGCATCGGGCCCTGTGCTGACAGCCAGCTCGGAGCCTGGAGCCTGCTTCAGATTCTGTGTCTCCCTCTCTCTCTGACCCTCCCGTGCTCATGCTGTCTCTATCTCTCTCTCAAAAATAAATAAAATTTAAAAACAATTTTTTTTAATTAAAAAATGAAAAACAAGTTATTGTCAAAATACTCCAGGAAAAAAAAAAGAGGGTAAGAGGTAGAAAGAAAATGAGATTGGCCGTGAGTTGATAATTTTGAGCTAGAAGCTCACTTTACTGTTCTCTCTGCTGATGTATATATTTTAAAATTTCCATAATGAGGGGTGCCTTGGTGGCTCACTTGGTTGCTTCGGCTCAGGTCATGATCTCACAGTTCATGGTTTCGAGCCCCGTGTCAGGCTCTGTGCTGACAGCTAGCTCAGAGCCTGGAGCCTGTTTCAGATTCTGTGTCTCCCTCTCTCTCTGACCCTCCCCTGCTTACGCTGTCTCACTCTCTCTCAGAAATAAATAAAAACATTTTAAAAAATAAAAAAAAT